TGCACGCTGCCTATTGACTGAGCTAGAGTGCTACCACAGCAGTTTATTAAATTGGGGGGAAAAAAGGCACAGAATATGTAGAAGGAGAGGCGAGCCTCAGACTAGAAAGGAAGTCTGAAAGGTGATCACGGAGGAGAGCTTTTAGAATTGGCTGAAACATGGACTCAGCACGGAGAAAAGAAATGGATTAAAGGACAAATCCCACTGTTAGAATAAGAATGGTAATGGGGATTTATTAGAAAATGCAAATGTTTGAATGGATACTTCTGCACCTGGGGTTCACAACATATGGCTCCTCAGCCACACGTGGCTCTTTACTCTCTCTGCTTTGACTTGCAGCGAGGTCATATTTGACCAATCGACCATATGGACTATAAGGAGATGAAAGACAGGACGGGGCAGTAAATTAGTTACAATAAGTAGATTTTGCTAGATCTTACTAGACAACCACATGATGTCACCGTCTTAAGATCAGGGGTGAAATTTAAAGTTGGAGTGAGCGATGCCGACTTAGGTCACTGTCTGTGATAGCAGTAGCAGTACTTAATGTCTCATACTAAATACTGAATACTGATAATTTTCTTGTTGGGATCTTATTGTTGATTACCATAAAAACAGTTCTCCTGGCCTGAAACTCCACAGAAGGACTGTGGAAACGTTGTCAAACACTGGTCAACAGTGGTCAAAACCAATCTCTGTAAATGCCCCGTTTTATACCTTCTTTATGGTTATTGAGCCAGGCATGGTCCTGCAAAGTGGTTGCTCGTTACCTAGGAGTTTATGTTGCAGTTACTTCTCAGTAATTCCTAATAAGCTGGAGCGTATCTGGAGTGTTTTAGAACAACACCATCTGGACTGGATTATTTTTCCTCAACATTAATCTGAATCAGAAATACCTCCTTGATACCCAAGGGTAAATTGTTACAGTGAAATGTATGAGGAAAGAGCTGTGGAGGAAACAGTGAATAATGAAGCAGTGGAGAAACACGCTCCTCTACAGGATGTGAGGTATTCTTCATCTGCAGCGACAAAGTGGCGGCAAGTCCCGTCTCACTGCAACAGGCTCATGCATTAAGTATGACTCTGCCAGAGAGAAGATGAGGGTGAAGGGGGCGGGGGGCAAAGGGGGGGAGTCAGACAGACACACCAAGACAGCAGGTAGAGACGGACACCGCCGGTCTGAGACCACACCCTGTGTGTCACCGGGGGAGCAGATGAATTATGAATTTGGGTGAATTTAGGGCAAATTGTGCCGACAGGAAGAGCACTCATGAATAATTTACTCTACGGGGTGCCTCATCATCTACCCCCCACCTGCACCACCTTACCCCTCCGACCCCCCTCCCATTCACTATCCATTGACCCTCATAATCCCTCACTGCCCTCGTCCTTCTTTACGTCAAAATTGCCGTCCCTTTCCCTTTATCTGTCTCATTTGAGTCTGACGTTACTGCAGACAGACGAAGCTTGAAGGAGGATGAGGAGGATGAAGAGGGTGGAGGCGGAGGTGAAGGTGGAGGGGCAGGGCGTGTATTCGTTTATTTTACCTCCCCTTCTTCTTCTGTCTCCCAGCCTCACCCATACACATCCTCACAGCGGGGGGTAGTAAATATTTCAAAGCAAGGCATGACAAGATACACACACACACAAATGTTTAAACATGCATCTCACACACACACACACACACACATACACACACACACACAGTGGAGCAGTACATCTGATCAAAACTTCCCAGGCTGCACTTGGATTCTGCTGCAGCAGAATGCAAAGTAAAAGTGTTTGTCTTGTGGGTCGTTGGTGAGCATGATAGAATTAGAAACACACACGCACACACACACACACACACACACACACACGCCATCTCTCACACAGGAATTGCTTGGCAACACCCAACATGTCAACCTAATGCCGGTTATTCTGCGGAGGAGGCTGCAATTTTCGATCTAATGGCTTCCGTGGCACATCACGACGCTGCTGCAGCAATTAATCTCTGCTCATGGAAGAATTCTAACAGCATAATATAAACTGTACATGTCTGAGATGTTTTGGGTCGCAAACTGCCCCAAAACAACAATTCCCTGAATAATTGAGGAGCAGAGTAAAGAATCAGTCGTCTGGTTTTAGCTTTAGCCTCATATTGAAGACACAACACACAGAACGTCAGTACGATGTAATTTTCCTGTGATTGACCACCTTCTGATGGAGCCCGCTGACATCGCAGTGGTGATAAAAGCTTTAGAAGCACTCAGGAACACAGCGGCAGGTCACGGCAGCGCAGCTGTAAGCAGCCGTCACAGACGTGACCTCTGACTCCGGCCGGTGGAGCAGGTAACCGTGCTGGGATTGGATCGCTGACAGCTGCACAGCAGAAACACCCTGAAGAAGTGAAATCAGGCGTCGGCCTCGGTGTTCACCGTGATCACCTGACACTAAGGATAATGGAGCGGCCACCAGGCGGGAGGCCCTGTGTGTCTGAGTGGATTTGAGTTAGTGTTTCCCCAGTCGTGTCAGTCTGCGTTGTCAGCATGTTCGGTCGGTTGGCTGGACTCGCCCGGTTTCAGGTCAGCCTTCTGTGCCTGTGTTCTCTTTCTCTCTCACACACACACTCTCCCTCCCAGCCTCCCTCCAACCCAGTGTCTCCCTCTTAGCCCTGCCCACCCATCACAGTGTTCCCCCTTTACTGCTCCCACTCAGACTGGGAGATTCTGTGGCACAGTCAGCCTCCACACTAAAGCCCATTGTACCATGCCATTTGGTCTGGCTGGTCTCCTGTCAGAGCAAACTTACTGTGTGTCTGTGTGCCCACCATCTATGTTATTCTGCATTGACTACAATCCCCATTTCATGGATACATGAAGCAGTAAAAAAAAATCTATCTATCTATATTTTTGTGTAAATGTAAAATAAAACGTCGGACATCTGATGTCACAGGATTGACATGAACCAGTGGTTCAGGCTGCCACACAAACTTGAAGTCTCCTCTTACATCACATTTGTGGATTCTTTAATAAAAGTTAATCATCAAGTGGAACAGATCAGTGAACGCAGGACAACATTCTGTCAAAAGGCTGCGTGACGTTCCAAATGAAATGGCCTTGACTTCCCATAGACCTCCTCCTTTATAAAGCAAAGGATCAAATTGTGCTTCTGCCAGAGTTCAACACCTGGTTGTTGGGTCCACTTCTTATACATAGTCTATTCTTTGTGTGTGACTAAATTCTGACGTTTGTTCCTAAAGTCCTTGGTAAATGAAAGCTGTTTCCATGACCAAACATGGTCTGATGCGTTGCTAATCAGTTTCCCCTTTTCCTCCACTCACTCCTCCTCCACCACCGCTTTCTTTGAGGAGAACAAGGTCCCAACTTTGATCACATTAACACCGGCACTAATACCCCGATGAGCCCTGCTCCATCCATCCAAAGGTATTTGTAGTTAGTCTGGTTTCAGATGGGATCACCGTGATCGACCCTCGGTGAACAACCGCTGAAGGAGCGGTGGTCTGATAGAAAACCAGGAGGAGGAGGAGGAGGTGCACAGGTTAAGGACAAAGGAAGAAGACAGACAAATAATGCTCATTGATCAGAAGAGGCTGCCTCTGTGTGTGTGTGTGTGTGTGTGTGTGGATAGGATTAGCGTCACACCTGTCATCCTTTGTCATGCCTCCTCCTCCTTCTCTTCCTCCTCCTTTCACATCCCTCCACTCCTCCCACTTCATCCCAATTTTTCTTGGCTCCTCTCCATGCTCGCCCCTCCTCTCTCTGTCCCCCGTTCTCCTCCTCAAACTCAATTTTCTGTTCCCAGAAACCCTCCTCCCTATTTACTCCTCACCACCCTCGCCGTGTGTGCTTGTTATGCCAGTCTTCTGAGGGGGCAAATGAGTGAGTGTAATGGCTCATTTAATCTGGGTGCTGTTTGTTTAAATTACCTTATTAACAGCTTAGCACTTGTTTGGTCCTTAATTCCGTCTAATTTAAGTCTTAAGAAAAAGGCTTCAGTAAATGTCAAAATATTGTTGTAAGAATGAACAGATACAAATCTACAACTCCAAGTAGTGGACGAGGTCTTGTTGTAGTTGTGAAATAGCCAAAAAAACAAAACAAAAACAGATCACTGTTTGAAGGCTGTTTTTATAACCAGCAGATGTGTTGGATTATATATGTCGTCAGAACATGTTGATCTGTAAAACAAAAACTGACACGTTACTTCCAGTAAAACGGGTGGGTGGAACTTCTGGAAGTTCTTTCAGTCCCCGTCCTCTCACAGCAGATCACGTCCACGTCCTCTCTCTCTGTTGTTCCTTTTGTCCCAGATGAACCGTGTGCGTCTTAATCACGGCGTACTGAAACATGTCTTTGTGTGTGATACTGAGAAGCGCAAACAATCAGTGGGCAGCGCCACGTGGTTCCACAGACTGCGTGTGGCGGTCGGGAACAGCTCCAAGACAACAGATAGAGAACGGACAGACTCGTAGCAGGGGAGGTTGGCCTCCTTCACCAACACCGATATCATCTCTATCACACTTTTATCGCAGTGCTGTCGAGTGAGCATGAGTACGAAGTGTTCAGTTTGTAACACACACACACACACACACACACACACGTAGTTCTGAGCATTTCACTCAATTATCCCCTGTATAGGTGTCTGTCTTGTGTATCTTTGTCATCTGATTTGACACTTCATCAGTCTGCTTTGTCTGTCCACAGCCCATCTGGGCTCTGGCAGTTGTGGTTGGTCCATATGGGCCACTGCTCATGTAATTAACCAAATGGAGTTGTTGTTTTTTTGCTCCTCACTGACATGCCTTCCCAGTGTTCTTGTTAGGATATCTGCATGTCGCTGCCTCTCATTTGTGTCCGATGTTTCGATCTGTGTTCAGGTCTGACCACATGGTGTGGGATAATTTTTCTCCCGTTCTGACACATGGCCCCTCTCTCCCTCCCCTCCTCCTGTCCATCCCTGGCCTCCCCTCCTTTTTTTTCTTCTTTTATCTTTTACAGAGAGAAGAACAGCAGGAGGGCGTGGACCGTCGTTGAAGAAGAAGAAGACAGTGGAGGAAAACGAGAGCGAGAGAGAGAGAGAGAGAGAGGAACCGAGGGACCAAAGACGTACGAGGCAAATCTGAGGCCTCCTGTTAGCCACACATAGCCTCACACTCAGCTCGGCAGGAGTGTGCGAGGTCGTCCCTCTGTGTGCTTGTGAGCAGGTGGGACTTTGATGGGACAGTGAGCAATGCCTCACACACAGCGACAGCAGGCTGGCAGTAGGGGGCGGTGCTCCTCTCACCTCTTGCCCCTCCTCCTCCTGGCCCTTGTTGCCCAGCCCAGCCCGGCAGCCATACACATACCCTCCAACTGTGAGTATAAGCCACCGACACTGTATTCATTCATGACAATGGGCTCAGAGTGAGGTTCAGGATCCATGTGTCGTGCTAATTCATCGGAGCAGACTAATAATGACCGCTCATCAGGATTAATTAGTTCAAATGAGCAAAATGAACATCTTTGTCTTTCATTAAGCTTAAAAGAATCCTCGTCCCCCCCCTAAATGTACTACAGTACACTGAAGCCTCGGTGCTGAGTACTCGTCCGTGAGCCTGTGGTGTTTCTAATTACTCAGTAATTGATCCCCTCATACTGCATTGATCAGTCTGTGTATTGATCTGGTTTCCTTGGTGCAAACCAGAATCTGATTGTGGAGTAATTTAATCAACGTTTCAGCTATAGAATAAAAATCCAGCCACTAGTTTTTTCAGCTTCGTTTTTTTTTCTCTCCTCCACAAGGCAATATGTGAGCGTTAGAAATACAGCTGAGCTTGTGGCCCTGCAGGGAAATTGATCTTCATCTGCTCTGCTGCTGGCCTGCCCACTGTGTTCCAATGAAGAGAGAAACACACACACACACACACACACACACACACTGAAGATTGCTTCACTGCTGCTTTTGTTGCTCAATCTTTTGACTGCTCACAATGAGTCAAAGTCCTTCACCACCCACCCACACTCTGCAGCAGATACAGACAACAACAAGAGCACACACACACGCACACACACATGAGCGCAGTCCTTTCCGTAAGTGCTGATGAAATCCAGTAAACTCGTCCCTGTAGGACCAGGTGACACAAAGCATGAGGTCCAAGAAGGATGAAGACAGGATGATGATGAGGAGGAGGAGGAAGAAAAAGGGGGAGGTCAAAGATGTGAAAGGTCAAGGTGTCCCTTGCCTTTCAATTAGCAGGCGTCAGTCATGTCAATGAGCGTCAGTGAGGTTCAGGTCAGGATCGATGAAGGAGAAGTGTTAAAAAGACCAGGGTAAATGATCTGCTCCGTTAGAAGCAGCATCATTTCTTTGACCATCAGTGCATCACAGCTGCTCCGTGTCCTTCTGTTTTGGCCTCTCTATAAATTTAATAACTCTCCCTGACGTTTTTTTTTTTTCCCTCCTTTGCTGTAACTAAAACATTTTCCCTCAATGCCCTCTTTCTGCCAACCACCGTGGACTAACAGACCACATAAGTGATCGTAAGTGCTTTTAACTTTATCGATGTCTGTCTTTCTAAATGCAGAAGCTGGCATGGCTCGTGTTGTGAACACTTTCATTACACCACAGAGGTTATTTCCACTCAGCATGCACTAAAACTCTTCTTGCTCTTTGGATTTTAATGAACATCCGCCATTTCTTGCCCTCGTATGTCCGGATGTGTTGTTTCTTGCATGAGTGATTGTGTGTGAACCAATCGGCTCCAACCTTTAGTTTCTCTCGTCTTTGCAGTTCAAACCTCTTAATGTTATTGTTTTCGTTTTTTTTTTGGCTTTTTTTTTTGTCATTCACGATATGTTCACTTTAGTTCTTCAAATGTAATTCTTCCTTAGAGAAAGATTACATTCTTTTTCAGTCAACAGCATCAGACACTGAAGTCAATGTCGAAACACTCCTCAACGACACTGGGAGAACGGACAGGAAGCAACAGACGACATCACTGATGTTTTCCATCATAGATAAACATGTTTGGACAATGAACTTCCTGAACGTTCTATGAACCCCGCTTCCTGTAACATGTCATACTTTACATGTCCTCCAATCATGTCGTCCAAAGTCAGGTCAAGTCCAGGTCATGCCTGTCAACAACACACACACATGCTTTCCATTCTGGATTAGCTACAGCTGCTGGGATGATCTGGTCTGTTAGTAAAGTTGCTGGTACGACACGGTTGATCAGTGATATAAATCTGTTGCTCTAGACTGGGCGAAACATTAAAGGAAACATAATGATTAAAATGTCATTATTACTCAGTTATAAATGTAAATATAAGGACCAGGTCAGGACCAATAACCCACGTCATCTATAACTGTAGCACAGAGCTTCTGCTGACGGTGGAGGCGTACACCTTCAACCAGGCTGTAACGAGACTTCAGTTACACCACGTATGGATCGTGAGGGTGAAACTCTGGCTTAAAGTGATATAAATATATATTTTGTCCTATTTTAAAAACATTAACGTGCTTCGACACAGACCTCAGTCCTCGGCTTGAGCTGGAGTTGAATGAAAATCTTTGACCAAATGATGGAAACTCCTGTGGCAGGAGAGTTCTGACTCAGTAAATGAGGATCAGTGGAGAGATCCCTCTGTTATTTTCATAAATGAATCTTCTAGAAACCTTTTTTTTACTCACCCCTGAATGTCTTGCAGTATTAACATGTTTTCAATTACAGTAATTATAATATAATAATCCCACAATTGGTGATTATGAATAATTGGAGCTGCTGAAAATGCTTTGCCAGGGAGTGAACCAGCCTTTTATCACAGACCTATTTCTTTCTTTCTATTCTTTCTTCACGTGGGTGGGTTTAGTTCAGCGACTCCCAGTAGGTGAAATCCCTACATCCTGGCAGAATAAAGGAATGATGAGGAAATGTTGTTTGTAAAAAGGCAGCAGAGCCCTGTCAGATCAGAGCCCTGGGGTAAATAAAGAGGAGTTTAAACTCTAAGCCGTTGCTCTCCTCTCCTCCTCTCCCCGTCTCCTCCTCTACCAATAATGCAGCAGTACCAATGGCCTAAACTTCAATTTGATCAACTGTAGAAATAAACCTCTTCTCTCCATCACTGGGAATTCCTTCATTAAATTCCTCCACTCACCCAATCTGTCTCTCTTTGAATCCTGTTTGTTTTCCTCCTCCTATCTCCTTCTCACTCTGCTCTAATTTCCTGAAGCCTCTCTCTCTTTCTCTCTCTTCTATCCTCTTCCATCCTTTTTCTCCCCCCATTCCCCACATCCCCCCCACCCCCCCCCCCCCCACCTTTTCCCATTTACCTACATAATGTAAATTCATCTCTATCTGCAGCTCTGTCCCATTCTCCCCCAGTCAAATTAAAGACTGTACCAAAGAGTAACCAGCTGGGACCTGGTTTTACAGCCCCCGGTTATGAAAGTTGGTGGAGTCCAAAATTTAAAGCTACAGCTACAGTATTTAGTTATTCCAAATTCTCAGGTCTGACTACAAACAAAATCAAAAAAACATTTTTTTCGTATGATTCTAGTTCAGCATCTGAGTCAAACTCTTACCTCAAGATCCTGTAACACATTTAAATTTATAATACTGTGATTATTTCAGACACGTCTGACTGAGCTCCTGATCACAGCAGACAACCTTTATATTCACTATTTAAATGCAGTTCATGAAAATGCAACACAGACATGCTAACGTATGACTTTGTGTGCCAGTGTGCTGTGGTGATACGTCTGTTACTGGAGAACTGCCTCATCTCAAGGACACTGGTGACAGACATAAAACAAATCTTACTTTTTTTTTTTATTATAACCCTAAATCCACCCTTTATTTCTCCACAGACATTTTTCCCTCCATCTTTCAATCATTCAGTCTTGTACTGTCTATCTCTTTTACATGAGCGCTCCCTCTTACATTATGCTCTATCAATTTCCTCTCATCTCACCTCATCTTCTCTGCCCGCTGTCTTCTTGCACTCTTTTCTGCTGCCCACATTTCATCTTTGTCTCCAGGGATACTTTTTAAGTGATATTGACTGAATATATTCATTGCCTGCTGTTAAACTATGACAGTGAGTCATAGCGTCTGCAGTTAATTTGTTGCCCCCCCGACCCCCAGCAGTCATATGGATATATGCACCTGTCTTGAACCACCTTGATTTTTTTAGTTTAATAGCCTTAAAATGATTGGTTTTAGAATTCACATGTGGTCTGTAGTAAAATATCTTCACTCATCAACTAGTTACAAAGCTGATCTTTAATCATCGGCTGCTCATTTATAGCTAGTTATTTTCAGTCCAGTTCTTGCACCAGTCATTTCCCTGGCATTGAGGAGCATGTCTGGATACATGGAACATAACAAATACTCTACAACAATTTCCTGAGTCCGCAATATTATTAAATATACAGCACTATTCACTTTGGCATACTTAAATGGTTTTTGTCTCAACAAAATTTTTTCCTGCGTGATGAATAGTCATGAGTCATGGAGTCATGGAAACAAATCTGTCGAGAATGCATCTAAAGATCAACGAACCAAAAACTTAATCAAAAAAGTTGTGGGCAAAAATTATTTCTCAGCATTCATTTAGAGGTCATTTAGCAAAGAGCACAAGAGGCTCTGTAATGGTTTGGGGCTGCATTTTAGCTTGTGTTATTGGGCACTATGTCAAATAATTTGAACTACAAATGGTTAAAAGTATTTCGAGCACAATATAACATATTTCTACAACAGATTCATTGTTTACTTTAACAATGGCATGAAAATCACAAGAGAAGGACTTTTAATTTTTAGAAATTAAAAAAAAAAATAGAGTTACATGAGTTGCTCATAAGTATCTGACACGTCGTCTTTTCCGACGTAGATCTCGTGGCATGAAAGCATGTTGTGTGTTTGTAGCATGGTACAGTAGTAGCTCAGTAGTGTATATACTGTATATACTGTTGTAGATTTTGTAGTTGTATCCCTGAATATTTGGTGATTCTGTAAATGCACTGTTTTGCTGTTGTTGCTGCTTGCAGTCAAAAGGCCTCCAGTGATCACCACACAGCCGGAGTCCGTCACCGTCTTCAGTGTTGAAGACTTTGGCATGAATTGTGAAGCCACCGGAAACCCTTCACCAACGTTAGTGCACACAAACACAACCTCACACTGAAGTTATCGTCACGGTTATCTCGTTCTGACAACTCGGTAACAGTGACCTTCCCTCTCCTTGTTCAGTTGACATTTACATATTAGCTTTACACATGAGCACAGCTTTTCCCCGTCAGAGATTTAAATCCTACAAGGAATAAATGTCATTAAGGCCTAGAGCATCTTTTATCAGAGTGTCTCAGCGGCTCGGAGACGGGAAACTGCTCCGTGCACAAGGGAAGACATTCATTTCACAGTCATGTCACAAACTTATAACTCGTCGCAGTGTCTCTTTTTTTTCTCTGTTCAGCTGCCAAACATTTGTTCCCTTCCATGTCATTTAACTTTGACTCTTCACTCTCCTCTTTCAAGTTTCCGATGGACAAAGGACGGACACCACTTTGACCCCAGCAGTGACCCAGAGCTGAAGGTTTCTGAATCCACCGGCTCATTTGCATTCTTCACGCTCAGTAACACTGCGGACACACTGAAGCCGTACCAAGGCAAATACGTCTGCTACGCCTCCAACGAGCTGGGCACCGCCGTCTCCAATCAGGCCGTACTCACCACTGACGGTAGGAGCATACTGATCAATCCCAAGGGAAGCACTGACCAGAAACAGACATGTGTCCAGACGTGACTGTTTGATAGTTTTATTATGCAAATTCACTCCTGCTCAGTGAACATGTGCTGGTTTGTCACCATTGGCTCACGCTTTAAGGGAATTTACCCGCACAGAAGAAAGAACGCCCCCTGATGTTTGGAGACAAACAGTGTCACAGTGAAGAGTTACAGTGTTTTTATGTCTGACACTTACAGTGTTAGTACTGCGGTGGATGCCTTCAGTAGCCACATAAAAGGGGAGCTGTGTGTGTTGTCACTTTGATCAGCAATAACATGTAGTGATTTACAAAGGTGTGTGTGAACAGAGCCGACAGAGAGGGCAGTTAAACCTGCACGAGGCACTAGGTGGCGACGCTTATTTTTATTCCAAGGATAGTTCGAAAAGTGACATTTGAACTTATTGAATGTCATTCCAACTGGTAAAAAAAATTCAAAAATGATTTGGTTTTGGAACAGTGTGAATAGGTTTAATTTGCATTCCATCCCAGGTCAACTGACTCCCTAATAACACACCTTGTCTGCAGTACAGTCTATGTGAAACAGGGGGCGCTCATTTCAGAACCCATTGGTTGAGTTATGTTAATTCTCCTTTACATGAAAAAACTTTGTGAAGCAAGGAGCAGTTGAATTTTACTTTCCATTATATATATAATAATTAATTCTAAAATAAAAATAACTAACTAATCATACAGAAGTGCAGGATCGCCACCTGTTGGCAGCTCCATTGACTTCCGTTGAATCCTGATTTTCGTAGTAACTGCATTTTCTGCCTTAACACAATCAGTGTCTGGGCCCCACACAGGGAAAAAAAGCTAATTAAAGCTGAGCTGAGTCTCATTACGGTTCAATATGCTCCACTGCTGTATGAGGAGGAACAGCATCAGACGACGTGTGATCAACAGCTGAATCCAAATGAGCGCCCCCTTGTTTTAAAACTTCTGCTTTTTCTTCCCATTGATTCCTGTTCTACTTTGATCAGGGATTTCTTAGTCACCAGGTCAGTAAATTCTGACGTGGTGTTTACCGTAATTAGTGGATAAGAGTGGATAAAAATATTCTCTGTTTAAATCTGAAAGTATAAACTCTCACCTCTCCTTACTCTTCATCACAGAGTTAATTTGTTGGTGAATCAGGTTCACACTGAGACCACCGAAAAATTGCCCCCAGAACATAATTACATGCACTAACACCATTATCCTCACACACACACACACCCAGAGCAGACGTGAACCACCTCTGTGTTTCATCCACCTGTGTGACTGGATCTCTCCTGTGGTCGACCTCCTTCCTTCACAGTTTCCCTGACAACCGTTTCCTCAGAAACACACCGGGGTTGATGTCATCTGAAGCTCTCCACAGCACTGTAGCTCCTGTGGGGTTAGCAACAATGAGCAGTGGTGGTGGGGGATGAGCAGGTGTGGTAGGAGAGTGATGTCTCAGTAAGGATGTCACAGAAATCGGGGACGAAAAGACAAAATGTTGTCCCCGATGTCTCCCTATCGATACGAATGCATAGAAACTGTGGCGATGAGTTTCTTAACATGAATATCTGCACATGTATGTGTGTGTGCATCAATGTGTGTGTTCATTTTTTACAGCTAATGAGTGTGTGTTTTTTCACCCGTGTCTCCCTTCAGTCCTTCCGACCTTGCAGAAGGAGAAGAAAGTGATTGTGAAGTCAGATAAGGGCAGCAGTCTGGTGCTGAAGTGTAACCCCCCACAGAGCTCCTTGGAGCCCATCATTCATTGGATGGACTGGAGTAAGTCCATCACCGCCGTCCTTACTGTCTCCTCACTGCACACTTTCTCATCACGTTCTTAGTGACTTTTTTTACACACATACACATTTTTTTGATTTTATAATTCTGTGAACAAGATTGTTAGTTATCCTTATTTCTCTCTGTGTTTTCAGGGTTACATCATATCCACCTCAGTCCTCGAGTCGTAGTGGGCAAGGACGGCAACCTGTACTTCGCCCATTTGACGACCAACGACAGCAGAGATGACTACATCTGCAACGTCCAGTATCTGTCGACACGCACCATTCTGGCAAAGGAGCCCATCACTCTGACAGTCACCTCTGGTAAGTTTGTACTGCAAATACTGTAGTACTGTCTGGGCCTGGCTGACCTGTTGTTATTTACTTTAGTTATCTATTGACAAAAGCTAAAATAAATCAATAAATAAAAATTAACAGAAAATTGAATTTTTTCCAATGGACTTCATTTGACGTAAAGTTACTTCAAATATAGATAGATAGATAGATAGATAGATAGATAGATATCTGAATGATTGACAGATGGACCGTCCAATTAGAGACCTGTTGCAGTAAAATCCTGTCTTTTCTTTACTTCTACTTTTAAGTAACGTGGGTTTGATATCAGGTTCCTTGACTTAAATGTGATGATTGGGCAAAATCATCATCATTTCCTGAATATAACCATCTGTGAGAGAGGAAGGTTCCTTTCAGTGAACAGATGGTTTCACCCATTAGTTAGTTACAATCACTGATAACCACACCTTGTCAATGCTAACAATAATAATCACATCAAGACCTCTTCAGTGAGGTGTCATGTTTTCCAGAAGATAGTGCCGAGCCCCAACTGGGGACCTCTCACCTCTGCAGGTCAATGGTAATGTGATGCTGCTCACAGCAGCATGTTGAAGTGAAGGGTCTTTGGCTCAGCGAGAGGTCAGATGAGCACATTAACATAAGGACCTCTGTGTACAAGTAGGAAATCTGTCTGATGATGATGATGAGCTTCCTCAAAAGGTGAGGAACCAGCTGTGGGTTCTTCTCCTGTACGGGAGGTTTAGAAAGTGGCTGCTGTGTCAGCAGCATGGTGTTAGCCATACATATTTATGAATCCCACCTTCTTCCACCTCTCTCTCATTCTCTCTCTCTCATTCTCTCTTTCTCTCTCTCCAGCCAATGCAGTAGTGCGGAACAAGAGGCCCCAGATGATGAAACCTACTGGAAGCCACAGTACTTACCATGCTCTCAGGGGCCAGACTGTAGAGCTTGAGTGCATTGTCCAAGGCCTGTGAGTGTCTGTATGTGTGTATGTATTTGTGAGTATGTGTATGTACTGCCATCATTTAAAACCATGTCTCCCACTCCATCTTATCCAACGTCCTCTCCTTCCTCTCCTTCCTCTCCTCATGCTGTTATCTTCCTCTCCCTTGTTAATCTCTTTGCCAGCTTTGCTTTTTGCTTTAAATTTTCTTGAAACACTTTATCGACCTTTTCCTTTTCATCTCAGCTGCCCCACAGAATATTACTAGCTGACCTGCCTAGGCAGGCTGCACAAACTGATTAACTGTAAAACTGGACCAAGAAAATGAAGGTTTAATCTATATAACCAAATGAAATCAGAAAACACTCAAATAAACAATAAGACATTTACTGGCATAGTTTTTTGTGCGTCGCCCACCTCTGAAGTTTGTGAAGAACTATTTTTATTTGCGTCCTTCAGTCCCACGCCTGATGTGATGTGGCTGAGGAAAGACGGAGTTCTCTCCGAATCACGAACAACCAGAGACATGTTCGACCGTCGCCTGCGCTTCAGTAACATCTCAGAGAGCGACGCAGGAGAGTACCAGTGCAGCGCCAACAACACACAAGGAAAGGTCACCCACACCTACACTGTGATTGTCGAAGGTACGTCATGTCCACGCCAGAGTGGAATAAGAATTTCACAATGCATATTCCCATGACACGTACATTGTACATTTCAAGCATGTATGTAAATTATATTTCAAATATTGTGTTATTTAAAATAATAAAATAATCTACATTTGAGTTCAAACAGTGAAATTAAACTTTTCCAGGAAGCCAAACTATCAGTTCACTAAATAAACAACTTCTTCTTTAGTCTTCACAATGAGCATTTCAAAATAAAGGTTCAAAAATTCGGTGCTGTTACAAACTAATTTACTCCGTTCCTCCAGCTGCTCCATACTGGACCAAGGAGCCGGTCAGTCAGCTGTATGCTCCAGGTGAGACTGTGAGACTGGACTGTCAGGCAGACGGTATTCCATTTCCTACCATTAACTGGACTGTTGATGGACTCCCTATCTCAGGTCAGTGCCGACTCTGCACATCTTCACTGACACTGCAGCACTTGACTGGTTCTGACACTGAGTGTTTTTTAACAGCATCTGATGAAGATTCCAGACACACCCTGACACCTGGAGGATCTCTAATTCTGAACGACGTCACATTCAACGACACCGCCATATACCAGTGTCAGGCCTCCAACAAACATGGAACCATCATCACCAACACCAATGTCTACGTCATAGGTGAGGTTACGCTAATGTACGTGTGGATATAAAATGATCGGTTCATCACCGCTTGTGTTTGTGAGCCATAACAACAATTTGAAGACTTTTTAGGATTTTTCAATACATTTTTGTAAAATGATTAAACTTTTTAATCTGATGAATCACGATTAGTTGAGATAAACAACAGTTCAAAATATGATATTTTTTTCCCTGTATATCACTGATACAAAAAGACAAATATATTGGATAAATGTTTGTTTTTCAGAATTGTTTTATTTATGATTAATCCAAAAGGTTGGAATTATTTATATGCTTTTCGTAAATTTTTGTTTCGTAGTTAATGGATTTAAGTGAGTATTTTCCATCTTGACGTTGGTTTGTAGAAGGTGTTGCAAATCTACATCAATGTAATTTTGTTGTAACTAATTGTCTCAGGAACCAGAAAACAAACAGCAGTAGGTTTTTTTTACTGATACCACATTTCTCAGTGATAACAGCTGTGATGTAGGAGAGTTGACTCTAAGCCTGACTACACGAATGAAAGGAAGTACTGTATAAGTTTGTGACTAATTTCTCTTCGTGCCTGATGTCAGAGCTGCCGCCACAGATCCTCACTGAGGACAGGAATACATACACCTTCACTGAGGGCCAGAAGGCTTTACTGGAGTGTGAGACTTTTGGGTCCCCGAGGCCTAAAGTGCTGTGGTGAGTCTCAGGAGACATTCTTTACATTGGTTAACAAATATGTTTTCCCTGCCATTTTCTTTTCAAAGACACATTTCACATAGACTATATTACGTCGGTCTAGTGAGATGCATAAATTCACAGACATGCAGCAGCATCTGAACTGTGAATGATATCACTCTAACGCAGATCTAAACCAGGCTTCGTTCCTTTGTGAGAAAGGGACAATTAATCTGGTGAATTATTCTGCCCGTGCCAGATTTAATCTTCACTCCCATTGTCAAATCACTCGTGTGCTCTGATATTCTGTGTGTGTGTGTGTTTAACAGGGAGAGTGGCAGCAGCAGCAACCTCCTCGCCGATCCAAGAGTTAACCAGCTGACAAACGGGGGTCTTGAGATTTCTAACATCACCCAGGATGATGAGGGTTTCTACACCTGCTCTGTTCAAAACACCAACCTGTCAGTCATCGCAGAGCTGGAGGTGCTCAGTGAGTGACACACACGCACTGGTTCTTGTGGTTTGTGGGCACTTCACATACACATTGAGCTACAGGTCCCCAACCTTCAACACCAAAAGAGACTTTTTTAAATCATTTTCTCAGCAATTCAGTATTTGACAGTTTGAGTGGTGAAAGTATATGAAGTACTGTAATAATACTACAGATTTATGAACACTGCAGAGAGAAGTTGACAAGTCAATCACATGTAATGACCTGAAGTCAACATTACTTTACCTAAAGATTGTGAATCTGATCTTAAGTTAAGAGGACAGCATTATGTTGTTTTGTAAAAGTGATTAATTTTGTTGAAAAAGTTCCTTCTTATCTGCTGTCTACTTATAATACTAGTCTGATTTGGTCCATTGGAGGAACCGATTTTAGAGTTGAAAAAAGACCCTTGCTCCTAACAATGGCAAGATGACCTCTCATTTTAAACCTTATCCTAATGTTAATCTGACAATAATTCTAATCCCAACTTCAAACTAAATTTGAACTTTGAACACACACACAGTCTAACACGCCACATTCCTCCTCCCACAGACAGGACAGTGATTCTGTCACCACCACAGGCTCTGAAGATCCAGGCAGGAAAGGAAGCCATCTTCACCTGTCTGGCCCTCGTCGACCCCAAACTTGGCTTTCCTTTTATTCAGTGGAGGATGAACAATCAAAAGCTGTTTGAGTCACACATTGACGAAAAGTAAGAAGGAATATCGGCTTTTACTTTGCCTGAAGACGTGACAGTGATGAGATCATATTAAAAAATTTGTGAAGGCAATATAATAATAATAGATTGATTGAAATTGTGGTTTAAATCAATTTATTATTTCACCTGTATCTACTCACATTTACTGTTTACTATCTGTAAAGTATAGTATTTTACAGATATCTGAATGGATTTATTGAACATATTATTTTCCAATTAAATATAAATGTCACTTAATGAAACACACACTAATAATTCGACGGGTGAAAAAAAAAAAGATGAATCCTAAAATAATTATGTTTCCAACCAATTCTTTGGAAATGACTCATAGGGTCACCTGGTTCACAGGCGATGACTTTTTTTTTTTTTTGACGTTTCCACAGATACACTTTTGATGGACCAGACCTGATAATCTCCAATGTAGAACCAAGTGATGAAGGTGTGTACACCTGTCAGGTCATCACTAAGATGGACATGGCCGAAGCGAGTGGCACCCTCACCTTATGTGGTAAGATCACTGCTGTTCCTGGAAGAACTGTACTCTCTCTTTTTCATTTTCTCACAACTTTGAATGGAGGTGAAAATAAATACGTATGTTGTTGTCCTGCTCAGATCGTCCAGATCCTCCTGTCATGCTCAAAATCACTGACCCTAGACATCGCGCTATCACACTGAACTGGACTCCTGGAGACGACCATAACAGTCCTGTCACAGGTTCAGTGAATTCTTGTTCATTTTTGATTAGACATTGTCTTAGCAATATACTAGGATATATGATATATTGATGAAGACGTATCCCAGGAAACTTTTTAGTTATCTTTAAAAAACATGTAACCTTTCCTTCATCAGCTATAATAAAGCAGCTGTGTTGTAAAATTTACTTTCACTCAATCTTTTTTTTTTTGTGGTTTCTTTCCCACCTCTTACATCACTCTTTCTCTCTGCAGAGTATGTGATTCAGTTTGAGGACCAGGAAATGAAGGAAAAAGGTTGGGTAGAGCTGAGGACAGTGGGGGGGAACCAGGAGCGTGAAGATCTCTCTCTGTGGCCCTACATGTCCTTCCGTTTCCGGGTGATTGCAATTAATGACGTGGGCAAAAGTGACCCCAGCAAGCCCTCTGACATATTTACAACCCCTCCTGAGGGTAAGAGGCTGGTTATTTTAATGTGCAGTTTACCGTGGGTATAGTAAGTACGAGAGTTCATTTTTCTTGCCCTTCATATCACAGCTCCAGATAATAACCCTGAAGATGTACGAAGTGTGTCTACAGACCCAGGGTTTCTAAACATCACCTGGGAGGTACTGTTTTTATTCTTCTAAACCATACATGTCAAACTCAAGGCCTGGGGGTCAAATACAGCCCGCCAAGCCGGGAGCTTAAAAAGCATTTAGTAAAGTCAATGCAGCAAAGTTTCTTAACCTAAGTAATTAAATGTTTTTTATATTCAATTAAATAAATATCAATTGCTGTAACATGTATTAGTCTGTTATGAAGTAGTTACATCTATACCAGCGGTCCTCAACCTTTTTTGTTCCAAGGACTGGTCAGTCGGTACCACCCCTTACTACAAATGCATATGACAGGATTTTCTTTGAATTAAGTAAATTAGTAAAAATTAAGTACATTAAGTATTCCCAATGCGGCCCCTGTACCAAGTGACCTGTGGACTGATACTGGTCCGCAGACCGGTGGTTCTGGACCCCTGGTCTGTACAGTCTTCCATTTACAACCGGCTCTTTAATGGGAACTGTATTGCCGATGTGGCCCCTGGTGAAAATGAGTTTGACACCCCTGCTCTAGACCTGAAGAAATATTCTTATAAAAGACTGTCGGCCATTAAAACTGCTTCTTGTGTCACTGAAGGAAATGGACCAACACACCTTCAACGGCCCTGACTTTAAGTACAAAGTGAAGTGGAGGCGAGTCGTGGGCAACGGACCCGAATGGCACACCAACTTCACAACAGCGCCGCCACTGGTTTTTAGTAACGTTGGCAACTTTTCTGCTTTTGAGATCAAAGTTCAGGCCATGAATGAGAGAGGAGTGGGGCCTGAGCCAGACCCAGTGATTGGCTACTCAGGAGAAGATGGTAATAAAAACAAAACTTTTACAGTTTAAAACCAACAGTCTTTTTTCTTTTGCATCTCATTTTCCATCTAACTTCTCTTGTTCTTTACATTAATTCTTTAGTTCCCTTGGAAGCTCCCATGGATGTGGGTGTCAGGGTAATTAACAGCACCACCATCAAAGTGGTCTGGGCCCCGATAGACAGAGACACAGTCAGGGGCCACCTGCTGGGCTACAAGGTACTGATCCTGTGTCTCTCTCTGTTGTGTTTGTTTTAACATATTTAGTCCCTGTTCTCATGAATAAAACATATTTTTGGTCCACAGTGGGGCCGAGCGACAGCTCAGTGCAGCAGGGGCCTGGGTTTTTGTTTTCTTTTTTTCTTGTTTCAAGGTTGTGAGGATAATGCTTTTCTTCTTGTTTTGATAATCTCACTTTTGTATTGAACCAGATTCTCCATGTTGACATTTTCTCTTCTCTTGGTTTTATCTTCAGGATTGCTGTTTTATTTCACCTCTGATTTAACATATTTAAAATTGTAATTTAACACGTTTTGGTTGTTACAATAAGATCTGAATCTGTCTTAGAATTAACAATATGGTATAGGTTTACATTTAAATGCATTCAATTTCTTCATCTGGTTTTTTTTAAAACTCCAGATCCACTTGACCTGGACTGGCTCTAGGGGGCACCACAGAGGCCGAAGAGCAAAGGAGTCAGTGAGCACCATTGTGGTGGAGACTGAAGCCAATGAGGAGAAGAAGGTCATCCATGACCTCCGACCCTACTCTCACTATGACCTGGCTGTCGCTGTGTTCAACAGTAAAGGAGAGGGGCCTGGTTCTGAGATGCTGTCCTTCCAGACCCATGAGGGAGGTGAGCCTGAGACTGGGACTGGGAATGTTGGATGTTGGATCTTTTCAGTCGTAATACTGCCACCTAGAGTTTATTTTTACTGGTAAAAATTACCACAAAAATGTCCAGACCATTAAATTAAAAGAGAAAATACAAACAGAAGGCAGCATCACTGAAAACTGAACTCGTCACACATTTAAAATGCCTCGTTAAAAAGATTTGGGCATTATGCGATATGATTATCACAGTAATCACTCAGGGTATAAGAACTCTAAGAATTGGTTTACAAAGCCTGGGTTCAAATCCTGGCCTCAGACAAACTTGAACTTGTTTGGTGCCATAGTGTAGCAGTTAGCACACCTGCCTTGTAAGTAGAGTAACCATGTTCTTGGCGACTCCTAGCTCCTTGCTAACACAAGAATTACCCGAGTGTGGGATCAATACAGTTCTAATAATTATTAATAATATTTGTTTAAAAACTACAGAATTCATTATCTTAATTTTAATCTTGCTCCCTTATGTTGCTACTAGTTCCCAGTGCTCCCACATCCCTGGTATTGGACAGCCCTTCAGAGACAGAAATGACCCTTCACTGGACACCTCCCGATGAACCAAATGGAATCCTCATTGGTTATGTACTGCGATACCAACAACGTGAGCATTTCTTTCATTTAATCCTGTTTCATCCTGCATGAAGTTAAGATACCTTCAGTAATGAGGCTTGAATGTTGTCGTGCTTAACACAATGTCCTCAGTCAAATCAATGAATGGAGAAAATGTCACAGGTACATTTTGATAATGATGCTCATCACTCAGTCACGTGTCACTTGACCACAGCAATACGTCAGCCATGTTGATTTGTGAAAATCAATATTCCGATGTTTTTGTCCGTCCTGTGTCAGTGGTGAAGACTGATGATAGTCCCATGCAAGTGGTGGCCATAAATGATCTGTCAGTCACTCACCTGAACCTGACCAACTTGGATCGCCACAGCCGTTACCGCTTCTCCCTGAGGGGGCGCACTGAAACTGGGGAAGGAGCGCCAATAATGAAGGAGGGTGCCACCATACTAGATGGAGGTACAGACCAGGTCTTTATAAAAGAAAAATAAAATAAAAGGAGAGATACGATTTTACCTTTTAATCCATGTAATCTATTTGGATGTATTTCAGCGCCCCCTAGTAACATCAGCATGACTGTGGGGGAATCCTTTGTAAACTTTAGCTGGGTGGCCAAAAAGAGACACAGAAACATCAACTTCCAGATCCACTACCTCAACAAAAATGGTATATTTACTAAAGTACTTACTACCACCTTAAATACGTTAGTCTTCCAGCCTTGAACAACAAAACAAGTGAACTTGACTCATGTTGTTCTTCTACAGATGGCAGTGAATGGAAGAAGGTAGATAGGGTGGACACCTCTCAGTCCTTCTACCAACTCCAGGGCCTGACTCCTGGATCTCATTATCGTCTACGCTTCACCTATGGGAACACAACCTTCTGGAACACTGACATTGAGACGGAAGAAACAGGTACAGTAAGCACTTTGCTTATTTTCATCTCCTCTGCTCTCACTCCTCTGGGCCTCCACACTGCTAAATATAACACCTAATCCTACAGAGAGTCTCCTGCATGTTCCTTCACCTCCTGCAGAGTTCATCCAGAGGCTGAAAAAGACTTGAGATGCTTAACATTTCCTGATTAACATAACCTGATTGTTTGAGGTTGATTTTCAACAACAACAAATGTGAACAAATCTGTCGCTTATGCATTTGGCTTAATCTACCATTTCTGTTTTCTTTGCTCCTGTCACTTAAATAAATACACCCAGTGGTCCAAATGCAGCAAAGCTTTGCGACACAAGGCTGGTTTATTGGCGTCGTGAGTGCCATCGTGCTGCTGCTGCTGATTCTGCTCATCCTCTGCTTTGTCAAGAGGAGCAAAGGAGGAAAATACTCAGGTGAGTGTTGGTTGTCACAATAACAAATGGTAGTGTAATTCTCCAAAAAGATACTGATAAAGAATATCTGTGGTGAAGTGGTGAAGAATATCAATTCTCAGGGCCCTGTAAAAAATATTTACTATTGACTTTACCTTATATAACTAAATAAATAACATTACCAGTATAAAATATGTTCATATACACATATGCACACGCACTGCTTGCCTTATTCTTATTGACTTATTCTTAGCTGATTTCTTCGCATATCAGTTTGCATCACAGTTTGAACATACATTTAGTAGGGATAGCTGAATAGCTAGCTACCTATCCATACCTGATGTTGTTGAAATGATAACGTACCACAACAGTCAGTGTATATACAGTAAGTCACAGTTAAACTACTGTGGTTGACAACGCTGGAACATAACTTCAGACATGGTGTGGCTTTGGCTCCCTCTAGTTTAATATAAAATCCAATTCAGTCAGATTACACCATTATTCTAAACGACACCAATTTACATAAATAACCCATTGAAATAACTGGTTAACATAATCACCGACAGTCAGAATATTGTTATCCCTAATATGTTAATCGACCATTATCTTTCTCTTTGACTCGATGTCTCTGTCACAGTCCAAGACAGAGTTTAGAGAAGTAACAAGACTCAGATCATCGTGATAACGAAATCCAATAATCTTCTGTCTTTACAGTGAAAGATAAAGAAGACGGCCCAATGGATTCAGAGGCACGGCCCATGAAAGACGAGACTTTTGGAGAGTACAGGTTTGTCATCTGAGTGCACATCCCTCCTTTATTATGCTTTGAATTTTAATGCCTGAGGATGAAGCCCTGATTCCCTCAGCTTATGTTATTTTTTTTTTCTAACCGTTTGTGATCCTTGTCCTGTTCCTTTTCTCCCCACTGCTTGCCTGTGCTATGCAGATCTCTAGAAAGGTATGCTGATTTTCCCAAAGCCATTTATCCTTTGTCCCTCACTGCATCACTTACCAATTCTTCCCATAATGCTTGAATGAAATATAATTTAACATATATAGCCAGGGGCTGCTATATACTGCGCATTTTTGGCTGCGTGCTAAAATTACAATTTATTATGCAGTTGATCTTGGTTAGCTTTAAACTTGATATAATATGTAATTTACTATAACATTAGTTCAGCAAAAGGTTCATTTTAAAGGGTTCTTCTTACAAACATCCATCCATCCATCCATTTTCATCCGCTTATCCGTTACCGGGTCGCGGGGGCAGCAGTCGCCACCCAAATCACACTGCACCGTACCAACCCCCCAAACCTTCCTGGGGGTGGTGAGTCCACTGGAAGGTACCAACCGCCCTAACCGGGATTCGAACTTGCCCAGGAGGTGAACCCTGGAGTTCCACACCAATGACAGAGACATTGCCTCTGGGCCAAAGCGCCACCTTCTTACAAACATTTTTTTTTTATCAAAGTTACTGCAGTGGAAGTGTAATGGATTTTTTGGCTCATTTTTTATTTATATTAACTGCAGCACTGAACAAACTGCAGCAGCAAGTGAAGGTCAATGATTTAATCACACTAAGTGGTTTTAAAATTCGAAATGAAACAACTGGAGCCAGACCTATGTTGAGATGTCTCTGCTTTTATTAGATGGAAATACGCAGTAGAAATCTCTAATCGCATCCTTTTTGTCGTGTTGTTGTTTGTTTAACCCTGTGTCTGGAACTGTGCGTTACTGACTTTGGTGGGTTCACCTTAAAACAGAGGTTATTATTTTTAGTGGATTTTTTTTATAAGTAAACTTAAGGTTAAATCATCCAAGGACTGATGCCTGCACCTGCTCACAAATAGTAGGGATAAATGTGAGACCTAGACCTGAGACTAAAATTAGTCTGTGAGCTCATTATGTTCACTAACACTAATGTCCATTGTTACATTGTGGGTGATGCTTCCAGCTGGTTAAGATAAAACTGTGTCAAAAACCATGTGAAATTCAGTATAGCTAGCTTAGCATTTTTTTGCTTGTAATCCCTTAATAAACATGCCTATCACAGAAGGTGTACTCAGGGCAAATGAGGTCTGGCAAAATAATTTCTTAAATTAAATAAACATTTTTACTGAGTTAAATGAGTTTTATTCATGTTTAGTTTCAGGTCTACATTTCATGCATCGTCATCTTGTGTCCTCTGTGATTGCTGCTGCTCTTGTTGATGCTGGGAACCTAAAATTTCGCTGCTCACACTATCTACTTTTGACTTCAGTGATCTGGAGGAGAAACACACGGCCAGCCTGCCGTCCTTGTGTGAGGAGAGCAAGCTGTGCAGCCAGGACAACCTTGACTTCAACGGCGGCAGTGCCATAACAACAGAGATCAACATAGATGAGTCTCTGGCCAGCCAGATCAGTCGGCCCAGCGAGGGTGGTCTAGATACCCTGCCCGACAAGTCGCCACTCAATCCCAACGCCGTCTCCCCAGCTGCCAACGGCACACCCAACTCGGTTACCTTTCTGGATTAACCCCCACACCACCAGTGGGGACCACCAGACCAAAACACGTCAACACATATGTGCCCATATGCTCTTGTTCCTTACTGACTCGCTGATCTGTACTCTGACTATCGAAACACAATCAATATATTGACTCTTCAGATGCCCCCTCGCTGTCATCTGATCGACTGGGACTATTTTGACCAAAGGAGTGTCCAGAGCAGTGGACGACATGATACAAGTGTGACTGACCTGCCGATGCCCTTTGACCCTTTGACCCTCTGACCCTCTGACCCTACTTTACCCACGTTAGTTTACAAAAAAAAACGACCGTGACTCATTTCTCTCCTTTTCTTCTCTTACCTTTCTCTCAGCAGCTATCTCTGTAGAAAGATGAAGCCAGAATGTCTGTGTACGAGTCTGTACAGAAATAACACAGGGACTGTTGGTGTGACGCTGCAGATAGAAGTGTGACGCTAGAGAGATAACTCAGTGACGGAGGATGATGATGTGTGAAGAAGATAATGAACGATTTTTGTTGAACATGTGTCCAAAGCCATTTGATGCCTAACATTTAACTGGACTCCCCCTCAACCCTCACCCCTTCATTTATTGTGTTTGGAAACAAGACACATCCTTATTTTTTGTAATCATCAGGTGTTTTTTATATTTAATGACCATGATGTCATTTTCTGTTCCACATTTAATATAACATGTTTGACTCACGCCTTCTCTTTTTAGACATAATTCACAAATTATGTGATGTTTTCATTGAAACTATGTGAAGTGAAGCCAAGTTTCTTACTATAAATAACGCTGCGGTCGCATTACGGGAATCTTGCTGTGAAGATGCTGAGTAGCATCTGGTGTGTATATAGCATCTACATCATCTATATCTACTTAGCCATGATACAGTATTATAGACATGTACATGCTTCTTCTAAGTTCCTGTGGCTGCACATAGAGCACCAGTGTGATGTCATTACTCTCTCGCATCCCCACCCGAAGTGTAATGTCATGATTGGAAATGATATTGTAATTTTTTTCGTGTCAAGACCTCTTGTACGTGTAGCTTTCTGTATCTGTCTTTGTCTCTTTCTACACTGTATTAAAACATTGCTGTCTCTAATTTACTACTTTTTCAAACCAATTAATCTACGACTTCAAAACCCCGCTTCAGCAGCACAATTTATTCATATCCTAGATCAAAGAGCTGAGACTTGTGGGCAAACCTTATCAGGTTTTATTTTCAGATGTTTAACAAAGCAAGGCTGATCTCACAGACAGATGTGATAATTACCAGTGAGGTGTTAAAGCAGAAATAAAAGCAGACGTTTACTCCATCAAACACACAGTATGTTATTATTTTAGGGCTGGATACAAATGACTAATTAAATACTGATAATTGATCGAGAAAGGTGATGTGAGAGGGTGACTTTTTTAAATTGAGTTCATTCATTTGAGAGAAATATGCAAAATTTGGCCTGACATTGTTCTGCTAAAAAGGCCTTACCTTGATTTGTAATCTGATTACTTACTGTAGACAGACTGTTTCCTGGTGGCACTGCTTTTAAATCCGCAGAAAATTGAGACATGACCCATTCTTTCTCCCAGAGAGTGTGCCTTTGGTGGATGCTCTATTTATACCGCACCTTGATACCTCCTAAACCTGCGAAATTAGCAACCTCCCAAAATACCTGACGTCTACGACTGTTTCAGTCTGACTCCGCCCTCTTTGTAGAGTGTGGTGCATACTGTACATCAAGGTCTACGATCTTTTTAAAGATTTTAAATTTCACCGATGAAATATCTCTTTTAAGTGATAGTACATAGCTACCGAAGGATGCTTGGCCATCTGGCATTGGCAGTGCAGTGTGTGTGTGTGTGGACTCTTTGTCAGAGGCATTTATTAAAGGCACAGATGCAGAGACATTTTGTCCACGCCATGGGGGAAACCCCACATGAACTGTTCTCATTTGTCCCTTTTTAAATTAAAGTGTGACACCAGACAGATATTACCTGAAGGTCCTGGAGGTAAAAGAAATGAGTTTAAGGGAAAGGAGGAGGGTGAACACCCCCCAAACAGACACACTCAGTACAAATATTGGTTTAAAATATTTATTTTCATACTGCAGAAATGAAGGACAATGTTGTCATTATTATTCAAACACCACACACACATCAACAGAGGTCAGCGTTCAGGGCAAATGTTAGCTTTGAATGAGGAATGTGTGTGTGCAAAAACACACACACACACTTTGCTGCTCTGCTCACTCTTTGCTTTCCGTGTCAAGAATAAATACCAGGATCTGAGTATTTGCTCTTTTGTTTTTTTTTTTATCTCCCATTCTTGTAACTATGGAAATACAGTTTTGAACAGCTTCTGTAAAAAAAACAAAACCACAACAACAACAACAACAACAATGCTGAAGAATAGGCGGGGGGAGTGTGAGACAGGGCACGTGTCTCCCTGTTAGATACTAACCTTCCTCTCTGTGGTGGCGAGGTAAACAGTTAGCAGCTAAGAGGAATTTTACAACACGAAGAGCCATTATTACTGTGACAACATCATATAAATTTACCTCTGTAACAGGACGTATGACTGCAAATAAAGTACACGGAACAATTCTATCAAACATTATTTCTAATTTTCTTCCACCAGTCTGATGCAGAAAAATCAATGACCATGTGACACAATAAATTAGATCTCGAGTATTGATTCGGAACAATTCAATCCACACTGAGTAGGAGGATAATAATCAATATATTTTATTAAGTGTTTGTCACGGAAGGACGAGCCTGGAATGGACAGGTGTTCAGCGAGAGCTGCTGTTGAACTGATTAAAATAGTCCTTGGTGGGTTTGTTGGTGTACAGCTTCTGGTTCAGGAAGTCTTGACTGAGGGACACACAAACACAAAAACACACAGTGACTTGTCATCTTCTAAAACAGGAAATGTATTCTGAATTATTCATTGTTACCCACGCCCACATGTGATTTACTAGCTGCTGCTTAAATAGTAAGAGTACAGTATGTAATGTAGGTGTGAGGAGTACTCACTGTGCCCACAACACTTTGGCAAGCTGCATGTTGTACTGGTCCATCTGGATCCTCCTCTGTCTCCTCAGCTCGGCTGTTTTTGTCTCCTCGTCTTCTGCCGCTGTGGACAGCTTCATCAGCTGAAAGTCCCACGCTGCGTCCTGGATTGTTTCAGCATCACGTTGTCTCTGAAGACATAAAGACGCATTCTTATCCAGAATTTAAACGTGATGGGAAATACTTGGTTTAAACAAATTTAAAGATTTATATGGAGAAGTGCCTTCAACAGTTTAGGGTGCACTTTTTTAGAATGAACCCAAATAAAGCCTCTGATAGTGTTAGTAAAATCAGAGACATAATAATTTCATGTATATATACGTGTGTGTGTGTGTGTGTAAGGTGTGAATGGCATTAAATGAGTTACCTGTCTCTCCAGACACTGTGCCTCTCTCTCCCTACGGATGGCGCTCAGCTGCTCAGGTGTCAGCCCCTTCCACCTGTCAGTCAGAACCCTGGGTATTATTCCTCCTTCCAATCCTGTTTCTGCTGCTCCTGCACGCTCCGTCATCATGTCTGATGTCAGCGTGTGCCGTATCTCTGCAAAATTCTCTCTTTCCTCCCTCCTCTGTTGCTCCCTCGTGTTCTCTACCTGCTCTGCAGCCTGTGGGCAACAGGTTCTGGTGTGACTTTTCTCGTGCAACCAGGGAGAGTTGACTGATCTCTCCCTGAGTGACTAAGATGCCAAGGGTTTTATCAGACAAAACCACTCATATTACTGTTGGCATAGTGTCAAGAAGGAGCCAAACGTTAAACATCCTCCTGAGAGACCCAGTCATTCAGCTTCATCATGCATCACATACTGTACATGCAAGTGATTTAAAAAAAAACCAAAACACTCATCTGTAAAAGAAACACAACGACCTGAAGAAGTAGAAAACATATCTCCCAAAGGAGGATTCAGTCAACTGCAATCGAGCAAATGAAGGGTGAGTTTAATGAATGCTTTTAAAAACAGAGAAGCACCATGCACTCATCCATGCTCTTCAAACCATCCACCTTGTAGACCACCATTTAACATGATGAGCACCGGCAGCAAATGTGTGCATGACTTAACATTTTCAATTAGTGTCCTAAATTTAAACCCGCCACCTGGGAATACCGTGTCAGCGATTGTTCTTATGAGCATTTGCATCGACAGATCACTGTGAGATATGTCAGTGGACGTTGTGTGAATGTGTTTTACCAGAGCTCGATTATAGTTGTCAAGAGCGACGCGGGTAGCTCTCCGACACTCCTCCACCAGTGCCGCTTGTTGAACATTCCTCAGATCTTCATGCATCACTTCTCTGGTCCTCACATTTTCTGCAGCGTAAAAATGTTGAATTATTACATGTTTTTTGTTTTTTTCACCACGACATTGTCCATTGTTCAAAGCTCTTCAATAAAACACTTACAATCACTCACTTACAGCTGCATCAGATGTTTGAGATTACTACATATTGACAACTTGTCCTGCCTGAAGTGTAAGATCTTTGTCAACATAGAATGGACATGGTCCAATTGTTTGCCTGGAGATTGTCTTCAGCACATCTTGCTTGGAACAGTTTGATTATCTCCAAACCATCTGACCATCTACAAGATGGTATGTTGATTAGAATTTGACTTCTGTATATTTCTGAATCATTTTCTTTGAAACACATGAAATTTTATGCTAGGAAAGTTTTATTTAAAAAAGAAAAAGAAAATGGCCAAGTCTGTCTGGCATCATCAACAACTTTTCTCCCACATTTTAAAGTCACTTAAATCACATTCCTTTCCTATTCTGATGCTCAGATTGAATTTCGGCAGGTCATCTTTACCATATTCACATGCCTAAAAGCATTTATGGCTACTTTTTGATTGGTTGGATAGATACATTTATTAACAAAGAAGAGACCAGGTGGCCAGTGAGTGTACATAACAGGTTTTTGTGATTCATTCATAAATAGCACCTGGCAATAAAGCCTCTGCGTAGGATTGTTTGTCAAAAGCTTGTGTGTGATTTACAGCAGCTGTAGTGTGTTCAGTTGTTAACGCATCAGTTATCACAGTGTAAACATGTTTGTTTGAATGTTCCTGACTTTTATGCTTTTCTCTCTTCACCTCTGTGTTTGTTTCCCATGCGTCTTCTTGCGTTTTCTTCTTTCTGCGCCTGCAGATCAGTTTGAGTTCTTTTTATTTCTTCTCTTTTCTTCTGCCCCTCTTTAACCCCCTCTCCCTGTGGATGAGTCAAAAACATTGTGCTTCAGTATAAAAATGCTTATTAATGGACTGTTGGTCATTAACATCCTACAGATGCCACACCTGAAAGACTTGCATACTAGCAGGGCCCAGCTCACTCTCTTGAACGGTTATCCTGGACGCCCCCTTCAGGCCGCACTTCAGATCAGCATCCCTGGAGTCTTCCATACGCTGCTGAGTGGCCCAGTACTGGACTAAGTCCCTGTGCAAAGCTTCTTGTTTCTGTCTTTCATCGGTGTCCTGCTGGAGCTGCAGGTTCTCATGATACTCTCCAAGTTTATCTGTATTACAGTGATTTTAAATATGCAAATCACATTAAACGCCTAAAACGTTTCTATCAATATTCTTATATCAATAAAAATCCACCGTCTAAAAGGACTGTGTACACACTTGGCTGAAAATTAGTCCCTGAATGTTTTCACAGTTTGACCATATGCACAAGTATAACTCCCCGGTTTGCCGAGTAAAAACCCATGCCTCCTATACCCACATTGGCCAGGTAAACAAAAATGACACATGTCCCCATGTACACAAGTGTGACAAGCTGTTTATACTGTATGACTTGAACCAAATTTACCAAAATATTGGTCACGCCGTTGCTCCATGTCTTTCTGATGTTTTTTCTCCTGGACTTGTTGGTGTAGAGCATCAACATCGACACCCATCACACGGAGGCGAGTGTTGAAGATTCGAGCCTTACGGACTGTCTCTGCAAACCTCCTCCTTTCTACAGCCTTTTCAATGGACTGGTTTAAAGGCAAGTCAACTTTGTACATGTTTGCAGTTTGTAGTAAGCCTAAAAAAAGGACGCACATCATTAAATGAGGGTTTACGATTCCAATAAAGGTAAAAAAAAATCAATCAATCAATAAATAAATTAAAATGTATATAGTTAAAGGGTGGAGAAGAAAAGACTAAATGCAACCCAAATTGTGTGTAAAAGTTATACATAAATGCACCCAGAAAACATCATATTCTATAAATCCTTTAGAGTTAGTCAAAAGATCAGGAAATGGCTACCCTGACAATACCTAGAAGTTTTTAAAATAATAAAGTTTGCTAAAAATAGGTCAATGTAACGAAACAAACTTTTGCCAAGATCTTACAGGACAGGACAATTGAAAACAAACAGATACACACACAGCAATTCTTCACACAAGATAGAAAAGTACTATTTATAACAATACTCACGTTTTAAGTGTGTAATATAAATATTGTTTAAGATTTGTAATTGTGAAAACTACTTCGAAACGGCTTCGTGAATAGTTGCGTTTATGTTCTTGGTAACCATGGTAGCATATCAACATATGGTCCAGCATTAAACAAAAATAAACAACAAAGAAATAAAAATAAATAAACAACCGCAATATTATTATTGCATTTTGGGTAAAATTAATACAAAGTCTATTTTCTTTTTCTTTCTTTCATGTCTTGAACTCATCAAATCAAGTTATGGCAAAGAGCATCTAGTTTCATCTCGCGAGAAATCACGAGAAAACGCGTCTCGCGCGCTCAGGGTTTTCCTGTTCGATTGTAAAATGGCGCTTTGTTGTCACGACTACGCTGCAGCAATTTAATTGAGAATACAAACCTTCCTTTACCAGGCATGCACTTTATAATGTAACCTGAGTTTTTTCAAGTTGCAGTTAGGCCAGGGATGTTATTATCAGCGTTAAAGGTCCATGGTTAAGACTTTCCGCTCTCGATAAACACTGGTTGTTAGCATTAGCAGCATTGTACTTGCTAACATTCACTGCGTTTTGTACTATTATTTAATCGGCGGTGCTAACACAGCGAACATGGGGTATTTAAAACTGATAGAAATCGAAAACTTCAAGTCGTACAAAGGAAGACAGGTGATTGGACCTTTCCACAAGTTTACTGCAATCATCGGCCCCAATGGATCTGGTATGTTATGATAATGGCTACTGTAAATCCTCTGACATTGTAGCTTGTCTATTACAATTTACGTCCATAGACCTATTTTTGGGAGTAGTGGCATTGCAAGTATTTACGCGTATGATTGTAGTTTTTGAGTAATAAGTGTGCTCTGCTTAAAACAGTAATTTGTACATACACATGTATTAATCGAGCTTTAGGCACAATTTAATGACAGCTTCCTTTCCAGTGACAATGTTTAGATTTTTTTTGTTGAAGACTTTTTCATTATAAATATATTTTATATAACCACACACCACAACCTACATCTTAAAAAAGGATTAAACTAAATATTATTGGGGAACAATAAGTGCGTTACTTGGTTTCCATAGTACAGTATGACTGTGACTAAAAACTGTTTTCTAAATTGTAAAATTATTTATTTTACTAACTTTTTAATTTGTGTATAGCAGACAGAAAATAGTGAACAATTCCAGTAGCAAATTGAGGTTTTGGTTCCAAACAGAGCAAAGAGAAACATTGGAACATAGACAAATTTTATGAGATTCAAATCAGATTTTGACCAAAGACTTAAACAGTACACTTAACTGAGACAGATTTAAGAAGTTAAAACAACGTTATGTAATGTGTGAATTATTTAATCATTTATTTATTTTATGTAGTAAATATTCAAATGTGACTGGAACTATCAAAACAGAAGGTAATCTAACACTAAATAATCAGTTGTTGCAGCTTGACTGTATGCCAGTTTGTATAAATCTGCATGTTGATGTTTTTGATTTACTTGGTATGACTCTAACACCAAACCCTATGCACTATCTGTAGGAAAGTCCAACCTTATGGATGCCATCAGCTTTGTGCTGGCAGAGAGAACCAGTAACCTGCGTGTGAAGACTCTGAAGGACCTGATTCATGGAGCTCCTGTGGGGAAACCAGCTGCCAACAGAGCCTTTGTCAGTATGGTTTACCAGGAGGATAACGGGGAGGAGCGTTCCTTTACAAGAGTCATCATTGGTATGAAACAACACATATCTTCTTATATAATGTTGTAGCAAACACAAGTTTGACTTTGTGTGTTATTGCTGTTTTTAATGTCTCACTTCTGGCTGTCATCAGGTGCCTCCTCCGAATACCGCATCAACAACAAGGTAGTAGGTCTTCCTGAATACAGTGAAGAGCTCGAAAAACTTGGCATCCTGATCAAGGCCAGGAACTTTCTGGTCTTTCAGGTGAGAATAAAATTCAAAAAACAGTAAATTGCAATGTTCAGTGTATCATAAAATCTTGAAATCTGAAATTGCAATACAAAAAACTTTTACTTTATTAAAGATTGACAGTTAAAATTGTTTGTGCTTATGACCCATTGTTGAATTGTTATGAATAGTTGTTATTGATCAAAATGTCTCCTCCAGGGGGCTGTGGAGTCTATTGCCATGAAGAATCCTAAGGAGCGTACAGCTCTGTTTGAGGAGATCTCCCGCTCTGGAGAGCTGGCCCAGGAATACGACCGCAGGAAGAAGGAGATGGTGAAAGCTGAAGAGGATACACAATTTAACTATCACCGAAAGAAGAACATTGCTGCTGAGCGCAAAGAAGCAAAGCAAGAGAAAGAAGAGGTTTGTTTTTTTGTGCTGCTTGAAATGCTGGAGTTTTAATTGCTCCGACACTTGCTTTTGTCTCGCTTAAATATTATGGATTATAAAATTCTAAGCTTTTTGACTTGGTGTTTCTTTTATCTAAAAGTTTATTGACTTCCATGACACCCCATCATTTGTTATATAACATCTTCCTTAGTTCTTGTCTGCAGTGCTTCCTTTTAGTCAAGGATAGATTTTTTTTTAAAAAAACACTAAGTATTTCTGAATTACCCAGTAATGTTTTCTGTCTCCTATTATTTCTAACAACCAGGCTGAGCGCTATCAGCGTCTGAAGGACGATGTAGCCAGGGCCAGTGTTCAGTTGCAGCTCTTCAAGCTGTATCACAATGAGACCGAGCTTGAGAAACTGAACAAAGAACTGTCTCAGCGGAACAAGGAGATTGACAAGGATCGTAAAAAGATGGACTTTGTGGAGGAGGAGCTGAAGGACAAGAAGAAGGAGCTGGGCAGGATGATGAGGGAGCAGCAGACCATTGAGAAAGAAATTAAGTAGGTGACCTCGATGCCTCACTTTGTGTGGATTCTGTGCTGTTTTTTATCTTATAGTTGCATCATCTTTTTTGTTACTTTTGTTCTTTTACAGAGAAAAGGATTCAGAATTGAACCAAAAAAGGCCACAATACATCAAGGCCAAAGAGAACACCTCACACAAAATCAAGAAGCTTGAAGCAGCACGCAAGTCACTGCAGAACGCCCAGAAGATGTATAAGAAACGTAAGGCAGACATGGACGAGCTGGACAAAGAAATGAAGGCGGTGGAGCTGGCTAAGCAAGAGTTTGAGGAGAGAATGGAAGAGGAAGCGCAGAGTCAAGGCCAGGACTTGACTCTGGAGGAAAACCAGGTTTGTAACTAAAGTTGAAGTTCAAAGGTCACCTGCTTCATTACGAACAAATTATATTCTTCATGTTGTCATAAGGTTACTAACTATAAGCACAAATGTTATGTTGTGGTAAACATTTGTCTTCATTTCGTCTACATTCCTGGTACTCATTGGGGAGTTGTTTAGAATGATCTTTTGATGCAGTAAAATGTCTTTTAATGTGGTGCCAAAGTAAAATATGAAGTTTCTTTTCTCCAGGTCAAACAGTACCACCGTCTGAAAGAGGAGGCCAGCAAACGTGCTGCTACTCTGGCACAGGAGCTGGAGAAGTTCAACCGTGACCAGAAAGCCGATCAGGACCGCCTTGACCTGGAAGAGAGGAAAAAAGTGGAAACAGAGGTAAATCCATTGGTTACAATTTTACCTCTGAGAACATATTCTTTATTGATTTTTATTATTATTATTATTATTTATTTATTTATTTTTTATGTATGTTATTGTGTTTCATGTTGTTTCCCTCCAGGCCAAAATAAAACAAAAGATCAGGGAAATTGAGGAAAACCAGAAGCGTATAGAGAAGTTAGAGGATTATATTACCACCAGCAGGTATGCTTCTCTCTTAATGATTTGATTTTTTTGTTACTTCCTACATACTGTAATTTACACACGTGTGCCTTTACCCCTTAGGCAATCACTGGACGAGCAGAAGCGAATGGAGGAGGAGCTGACAGAAGAGGTGGAGTTGGCCAAGAGGAGGATTGATGAGATCAACATGGAGCTTAATCAGGTAAATGGAACATACGTGTATGAAGAAAGAGAAAGGCCAATGTTTGCATTGTTGGTCACATGTTCCACTACAAAGAAATCATAAAGCATGCTGTTGACAGTTCCTCACATGACTTGAGATAGAACAATAATAGTAATACATTATATTAAAGCCATTCAGTTACACATTAAGCTGGATCAGACAATTCAGTGGGTAATAAACTGGTAGTAACTACAAATGCGCAGTAAAACATATATATTTTCAGTACCGTAACACACTCCTTAAAATTAAACATTCAGAATTTATAGTGTGCATTAAGTAAACAGGTATTTGCCAGTCCATGAAGGGTTAAACTGATGATTTTTACTGATAAGTTGACATTTCTACTCTAACACCTTCAGACACAACAGGTACTCTTACTGAGAAAATGTTGACATTTTCCAGGTCATGGAGCAGCTCGGAGACGCCAGGATTGACAGACAGGAGAACAGTCGCCAGCAGCGCAAGGCAGAGATTATGGAGAGTATCAAACGACTTTACCCTGGCTCTGTGGTGAGACAACATACTGGTTTAAGGTCATATATTCTAAAAAAAAAAAAAAAACAGAAAGTCATTGTAAAAAAAAAAAATTCTTCCAATATTATATAACATTCTGTATGTCTAATAATATCTGTCCTCAGTATGGACGTCTTATCGACTTGTGTCAGCCGACCCAAAAGAAATATCAGATTGCTGTGACCAAGGTGTTGGGAAAGAACATGGATGCCATCATTGTAGACTCTGAAAAGACAGGAAGAGACTGCATCCAGTACATCAAAGAGCAAAGGGGAGAACCAGAGACCTTCCTGCCTCTGGACTATCTTGAGGTAAATTCTCTAAAATATAATTAAATCCTATGTTTATTTAGACTTAACCTGAATCAGAACATATTTTTGAATAAAAGCCTAAGGATTGTGCAAAACTAAAAATATGAACTTGGACATAATGTTTTAATAATGTCTGTCTTGTGACTTAGGTAAAACCAACTGACGAGAAGCTGCGAGAGCTGCGAGGAGCCAAACTGGTGATTGATGTGATTCGATACGAACCGCCTCACATCAAAAAAGCCCTGCAGTATGCATGTGGCAATGCCCTGGTGTGTGAGAACGTTGAAGACGCTCGAAGGATCGCTTTTGGAGGACCATATCGACATAAGGTACTTGACCTGGAGTTCAGGCTTCCAACTCAGCTGCCAGCATTTCAACAAATATTCTCCATAAATGTTTTTATTTAAGACTATTACCATTGTTTTTCGCCTCATCTTGTTTTCATATTCTAACCCCCAGACAGTAGCCCTGGATGGTACTCTGTTCCAAAAATCTGGGGTAATCTCTGGAGGAGCCAGTGACCTGAAGGCCAAGGCCAGACGTTGGGATGAGAAAGCTGTGGATAAGCTTAAGGAGAAGAAGGAAAAACTCACGGAAGAGCTCAAGGTAACCTACTGAGAATTACCACACCTGTTAATGTGCTCGGCAGTTTTTGAATACATTTATAGCGTTATAGTTGTAGCTGTTAAATGACTGTTTTCATACCATGTCTGTCTACATAGGAACAAATGAAAGCCAAGAGGAAGGAGGCAGAGCTGCGTCAGGTCCAGTCTCAGGCCCACGGCTTGCAGATGAGACTGAAATACTCCCAGAGTGACCTGGAACAGACAAAAACTCGCCACCTCTCCCTCAACATGCAGGTACGACACATACTCAAACATAATACACAATGATTTACTGTTCCAGTACTTTGTGGCTGTAGTATCTTTAGTATTAAAGCCTGTTCTACGTGTTTCCTGCAGGAGAAGTCAAAGCTCGAGAGTGAATTAGCAAACTTTGGTCCTCGCATCAACGACATCAAAAGGATCATTCAATCCCGTGAGAGAGAGATCACTGACTTACGAGACCGCATGAACCTGGTGAGAATGACAGCAAGTAAAGCCCACAGAGAGTGTGGTTTTGACGTAGCAGTGTAAAAACATGTAAATGTTTTTTTGTTTTCCAGGTGGAGGATGAAGTATTTGTGGATTTCTGTGAGGAGATTGGAGTGAGGAACATCAGAGAGTTTGAGGAGGAGAAGGTGAAGAGACAGAATGAAATTGCAAAGAAACGGTGAGTTTTCTTCCTTTTTTTTTCTTTTCAAAACCGCCATGCCAAGAAAGCAGAGCGACAGAGTTGACTCTGCTTCCAAATAAAAAAACAAAACAAACTCTATTCTTATGTCTTTCAAAAGTGCTTAAAAGGTTTAGCTTTTTAAAAATGTTATTCCAGGAAAGTAAAGCAGTATAACAAGCTTTTACTTATATTCATATCGTTTACCATTTTCTCGCTATCTCTTTTAATTACATTTTTATTTAGATTTTATAGCCATCTGCTTCCACCTAGTGGAAGTGTATTTAACTTGTCTGCCAGTAATTGTTGCTATGAAGATTTTATTTGCAGTAAATAAATAATAAAAAACAATTAAATTAAATAGGATATTTTTTTGCAGCACACCATATGATCTCTGATAGCACACTAGTGGGCCACACCATAGTGGTTGGGGATCACTGCTTTATTGTGTCATGTGATGCTACATTTCACAAATTCAGTTTTCAGAGCAATTGCCTAGCTTCACAGAATCACAGTAATATATTTCATGATTGCACATCCAAAATCTAGTAATTCTAGTCAGTTCACTAACCATCAAAGATATTATTAGTAAAGAGGTGAAAATACAGATTCAAAGCCATTTGTTACACTGGCCCAAACAGCTGCCCTCATCATCAGGGTTGTGAAAATTGTCTGTTGTCCAGTGTATTTGCGTTTAATCTAATCTGAAGTCTACCATTTTGTCCCAGGCTTGAGTTTGAGACCCAGAAAACCCGTTTGGGTATTCAATTGGATTATGAAAAGAATCAGCTGAAGGAGGATCAGGAGAAGGTCATGATGTGGGAACAGACGGTCAAGAAGGACGAAGCTGAAATTGAGCGGCTTAAAAAGGTAAAAACATAGTGGTCTATTAAACTAATTTATAAAGACCTTCATGTTTACAATATTTAAAATTAATAGCACTGTGCCCTGTCTTCCTGCAGGAGGAGCACAGACACATGAAGATCATTGATGAGACAATGGCTCAGCTGCAGGACCTAAAGAACCAACATCTCACCAAGAAGTCAGAAGTAAACGATAAAAACCACGAGATGGAGGAGATCCGCAAAAAACTAGGCGGTGCCAACAAGTTAGTGGTGGCAAACACATGCAGACTTACTAAATAAATCACATTTGAGTCAGGTTGTTCTAAAAACGTGGCTGTATATTCCAGGGAATTGACCCAGCTCCAGAAGGAGGTGACAGCCATCGAGACCAAACTGGAACAGAAACGCAGCGACCGTCACAACCTCCTGCAGGCCTGTAAAATGCAGGATATTAAGTTACCTCTTCGTTCTGGAACCATGGATGATATCAGCCAGGGAGAGGTGCGAACAGATGAAACTCCTGCAGGCTCTTATCTAATTTTCAGTGGGTTTTAAGCACAGTAGTCACATCTGTGTTTGTCCTTTGTATCAAAGGGAGGTTCACAGACGGATGACTCCAGCAGCCAGAGGACGTCCAGTAGTGTTTTGGCTAAAGAAGCACTCATAGAAATTGACTACAGCAACCTGTCTGAAGACCTGAAGGTACTGATCATAAAATCAACTTGAATCGCATTTAAAAACAAAAAATCTCTGAATATGTAAATATTAAATCATGTTCCTGCAGGATGCTCTCTCAGATGAGGAGATTAAGGCAGAGACAAACACACTGCAGCAGCGTCTGAATGAGCAGCAGAGCATCTTACAAAGGATCAGTGCTCCTAACATGAAAGCCATGGAGAAGCTGGAGAGCGTCAGGGACAAGTTCCAAGAAACCAGTGATGGTGAGAGGACCAGGAACTTAGGATGCTACATACATTTTCAGATCTTCCATGGGATTGAGTATACCCAAAAAATTGACGTGTTTCTCTCTGGCCTTTTTCAGAGTTTGAAGCAGCCCGTAAAAGGGCCAAGAAGGCCAAGCAAGCCTTTGAGCAGATTAAGAAGGAACGGTTTGATCGATTTAACACCTGCTTCGAGTCTGTGGCCACAAACATTGATGAGATCTACAAAGCACTGTCGCGCAACAGCAGTGCCCAGGTTTGTTTTGCTTCTAAGGACTGTTTAAATTCTCTTTAACAAATGCAAATATCTTTGTTGTTTTTTGGTAGAATGTCTTGCGTTGTTGAAGAAAAAAAAAGAAAAACCTGACAATGTGTGTCTTTTTTGAATAGGCTTTCCTGGGTCCAGAGAACCCCGAGGAGCCGTACCTGGATGGCATTAATTACAACTGTGTGGCCCCAGGGAAGAGGTTCAGACCCATGGATAACCTGTCAGGAGGAGAGAAGACAGTTGCTGCTCTAGCTCTGCTTTTTGCCATCCACAGGTAAAATGATGTAGAGACAGATGCCTGAAATGTAATTAACTTGAGCTAAAAGTATGTATTTAATTTTTCTTGTACAATTATTAATGTGAACACTTCCTGCTTGGTTGTAGCTACAAACCTGCTCCCTTCTTTGTCCTGGATGAGATTGACGCAGCTCTGGACAATACCAACATCGGCAAGGTCTGTTTTGACACAGTGTACAAGACGCTTCTTGAAATTGGTGCTTTTTTTCATTGTTTTAAATTTCAAAAATATACAAGACATGAATTCTTCTGTCTGTTAAAGGTGGCCAATTACATCAAAGACCAGTCAGTGCAGAACTTCCAGGCCATTGTCATTTCTCTAAAGGAGGAGTTTTACACAAAGGCTGACTCACTTATCGGTGTTTATCCAGAGGTGTGTATCTCACTGTCACACATAAAACTCAAATACTTATATTCAGCTCCAAAGATTTTGATAAGCCGTTACATTTTGAAACAACATTTTATACATATTGAAACAATATGTTTATTCTCACCATTACAACTATTAATTCTAATTAATTAATTTAACTATAATTTTTTTAGTACGGCAATGTTTGATCACACTTGGATACTATACAAATAATTTCCCGAACAAATCTCCGAAAATAAACGTTAAAAAATAAAAATACTTAAAATACTTAGCGATGTCCATTT